GCAAGGCAGGTATGGGATAAAGATTTTTTTTTTTGATTAGCTATTTTTTCCTGACTTAGACAAATATTCAACTACCTCCTTTTCTCCTTTTATCATGAAGTTTACCTAAGGTCAATTTAAGACTACTTTGGAAAGCTCTCCAACAGCATGTTCAATGTAGAAAAACAATCTGTATTATTGTTTTCTCCAAAGGTAAAGCAAACAAGTTTATTAAATAATGTTTTCTATAAAATCTTCTTTCTATAGGGCTGCAGAAGAGACTACCAAGCCAGGATTTATCTGTAAGTGAACAGAGTACACCTTGTAAAAATTTAGTCACTTTGTTAATTGAATAAAATGTGAAAATAGATGTGCAGTTGTTCCTTGATCTCCCTATCTAATTGTAAAACTTTAAATAAAACAAACACAACTAACATTCATACAGTCAGGCCTAGTAGAGAATTTGTTGCAGAGGCATCAGAACAATGTTTGGTCAAGGAGTCTTTGTCAACCAAACAGATACACATATATGGGTGTGTGTGTATGTTCAAACGTGTTATATGTCAATGGTATTAGATAGTAGACATCCACATGGACATGCTGAGTATGTATGTAAATTTATTTTTTATTTTTTTTCTAAGGCAGAGTTAGACAGTGAGAGAGACAGACAGGGAGAAAGGTCTTCCTTCCATTGGTTCACCCCCCAAATGGCCACCATGGCTGGTGTGCCGTGGCCGGCACGCTGCACCGATCCGAAGCCAGCAGCCAGGTGCTTATCCTGGTCTCCCATGCGGGTGCAGGACCCAAGCACTTGGGCCATCCTCCACTGCACTCCCTGGCCACAGCAGAGAGCTGGACTGGAAGAGGAGCAAGCGGGACAGAATCCAGCACCCCAACCGGGACTAGAACCTGCAGTGCCAGCGCCACAGGCGGAGGATTAGCCTAGTGAGCTGCGGCACTGGCCAAGTATGGAAATTTATAAATCTAGAATCTATAACTTAAGGGAGAGATTTTAGGCTGACATCAACTTTAGATTCAGAAGCGAATGAATGGTATGAGACTATGGCTTTGGAGATCTGAAACAGGAAGAGGATCTAGACACAGGGAGTGAGAAAACTGCAAATGGAGAGAATCCCATGACTGCAAAGAACTTTTCAGTGAGTTTTAATACCAAGGTGAGCTATGAGATCAAGTAAAATCAAAATGGAATAACTTCTAATGCTCTGTAGCTGAGTAGGATAACACTTAATTAAATGGTTCAAAATAGCTAATAGGATTTTGAATGTTCTCAATATACAGAAATGATAAATGCCTGAAATGATATGCCAATTAAATACTGTATACACGTATTGAAAAAATCACACTTAAACCCACAAACATGTACAATTACTTTATGTCAATTAAAAACAGAAATATATTTTTAAAAAGTATATTTTGGGGGCTGGCACTGTGGCGCAGTGGGTAAAGCCAGCGTCTTCAGTGCCAGCATCCTGTATGGGCACCTGTTCTAGTCCCACCTGCTCCACTTCCAATCCAGCTCTCTGCTATGGCCTGGGAGAGCAGTGGAGAATGGCTCAAGGCCTTGGGCAACTGCACCCACATGGGAGACCCAGAAGAAGCTCCTGGTTCCTGGGTTTGGATCGGCCCGGCTCTGGCCAGTGAGGTCATTTGGGGAGTGAACCAGCAGATAGAAGACCTCCCTCTCTTCTCTCTCTCAATCCTTCTCTCTCTTTCTCTTTTTCTCTGCCTCTCTGTAACTCTCTGTAACTCTGCCTTCCAATTAAATAAATAAATTTTTAAAAAATAAATAAAATTAAAAGTATATATCGACTTTAAAAAAAGGGATCACTGGGCCCGGCACTGTGGCACAGCGGGTTAATGCCCTGGCCTGAAGTGCCGGCATCCCATATGGGCGCCGGTTCTAGTCCCAGCTGCTCCTCTTCCGATCCAGCTCTCTGCTCTGGCCTGGGATAGCAGTGGTAGACGGCTCAAGTCCTTGGGCCCCTTTACCCACGTGGGAGACCTGGAAGAAGCTTCTGGCTCCTGGCTTCAGATTTTCGCAATTCCAACAGTTGCGGCCATCTGGGGAGTGAACCAGCAGATGGAAGACCTCTCTCTGTCTCTACCTCTCTCTGTAACTCTTTCAACTAAATGAAATAAATCTTTAAAAAAAAAGGATCACTATCCACATTTTAAAAGGGAATAAATATACTGTACTGTAATTACTAAATAGCAGCATGATTCTAACTGTTATAATAGTTAGAGATATTATTATAGATATGAGTACAGATTCTCCATCAATACCTTGGCACATGGTGGTCTCTCTCTTAGCCCTTTCTCTGTTTCACTCCTTCTCATTATCTGGTGTTCTTCTGGATCAGGTATCAAAATATTGCTCCCACCACAAGTAACCTCTTCCACTGTCCTCGTTTCTTTTTTGATCCATAAAAATTATCAATGACTGAGAGCATCAAACTTATCCATTTATTATCTGCCAATGTCAAGGGCAGAGGAAAAAAAAAACCCTGGCCATTTTTACTACTATAAATTAGAACTGTGTGACACATAATATGTTCAATAAATAGCTCTTCAATTAATTCATATATATCACATACTCTTTCATTAGAAGATGAGTTTTATTTATTTTTTAGAAAAAATAAAAACAGTTAAAACTGTCCTTCTGTTCAGGTCAAATTACTAGAGGCAAAATACAGCGAAGTAATCACTGATTTACTAAGCTTTTATCTTAATGAGTATTGTAATCAGTGTTTCCAAAGATGAATTTTTCCATATCCATGTTTGTGGTTTTATTTAGCTGAGAGTAAAGGTCTTCTCTAGATTTGAAAAAAAAAGTCTTACTTTGACAGATTTTATCATTATTAAATACTTTTATGTTATTTTGTAGAGAACAATGAAAACAGTCATGGGATAGCCAAACATGATGGATCACCCAAAATATAATAACAGGATTTTAAATAACAGGCAATATCAGTAAATTAAACCTAATGGAGCCTTAATACAAGCAAATTTGCTTGCTATTGGACTTTGAAATACTTATGCTAGCACCTAACATGCAAACAGAGAACAAGGAATCCAATTTGAAATTTTATGAATAGGAAAATGTCTAAATGCATGAGAATAAAAAATATGCATCCATCTGTTTTAAAAGATATAGAGAGACTAGCAGAGGTTCTGGGCCTACAAAGCTGACTAGGACATTTCTCCAGCTTGTGATGGCTTACAGTATAATTGGATAATTCAGTAAAATATGCTAAGTGATAAAATGTGAGTTAGCCTATTATAGGAATTCAGCAAGGGCCTGCTGGGAAGACAATGCCTGACCTCAATCTTACAATATGAGTATAAAAGCACACAATAAGAAAGTTATTGTGTAAGACTATGAGGTATTGGAGAACAAAAACAATTTTGAAGAATATAAGAAATTACAGATTATTATATGCCAATTATACCTCAAATATAAAGAAAATCAAAATTGATTATAGCAGAGGGGAACAGCTTATTGCATTATTAGATGTTCTTAAACACTTGTAATATTTCTTCTAAATATGGTCAGAGAAACTTCAAGCAGGAGGACTTATAATAATACAATTATTTTAGAAATTACACACATAACAGACCAACCAAATAAATATCCAGAAGAAAAGACTAGTAAAATTATTTTTTTTCAATTTATAGTATCAACTCTTGAGTCACTAAAAAAGCATCCATACAGAGTATGTTGCTTAAAATCCAAATATAAACTTTTTTTCTTTTTTGACAGGCAGAGTGGACAGTGAGAGAGAGAGACAGAGAGAAAGGTCTTCCTTCGCCGTTGGTTCACCCTCCAATGGCCACCACTGCTGGTGCGCGGCGGCCAGCGCATCGCGCTGATCCGATGGCAGGGGCCAGGTACTTATCCTGGTCTCCCATGGGGTGCAGGACCCAAGTACTTGGGCCATCCTCCACTGCACTCCCTGGCCACAGCAGAGAGCTGGCCTGGAAGAGGGGCAACCAGGACAGAATCCGGCGCCCCAACCGGAACTAGAACCCGGTGTGCCGGCGCCAAAGGCGGAGGATTAGCCTAGTGAGCCGTGGTGCCGGCCCAAATATAAACTTTTTTATGATAAAGATAAAATGTTTCCTGCAGGATATACTGTCCAACACTCTGGTAACATTTCTCATTATAAATTCCTCACCTAAGATATCTCCTTAATAGTTTGAAGACAGAAGTCTTTTGGTCAGAAAGAAATGATTAATCATTTCCTTTTCCATAATAAAATAATGTATCAAACTATAAAAATGTAGGTTGACTAAGTTATACTACATATATACCCACCCTTTCCCAGTGAATTTACAAAGATTCTTTATGAATAAGTCTCTATAAATAGTTATTTCTCCTAAACATTGAACTCTAACACACAGAAAATCATCCATGTATAAGACAGAAAGCTATGGTGCAATTCAGATGTGAAAGAAATAATTTCAAATATCAAACTTATATACACTTTAGTTTATTGTTCTTTAGGGGAGAGGTGAGCTGTTTAATATGGAAACATTTTGAGAAATAATCAGAATTTTTAGTTTTGCAGATGAGTACTTGAAATTGCTTTAGGTAAGAGGATAAAAAAGAAATAGAGAGATAACATGAAAGAATCATACAGTGGATATGATTAGGTGATATGACTGAAGATAGAAAAGGCATCCAGTCAGGGAGTCAAAAGGAAATCAACTCAGACATACAGAAACTTCCCACAGAGAAAGCAAAAAGAGAAAATGATTTGATGGAAACCTACAAAATGGACTTGTAGAGAATGAAAACACAGAATATACACTGTCAAAGAAGTGGGAGTAATAAGTGATTTCTAAGAAGCTAGAGATAATATAATGTGCAACAGGAGGGTCCACAAAGTGAAAATCACAGCCAATGACAGAAACGCAGTGCAGGTGTGCTTGGAAAAGCGATCATCGGTGTGATACTTTTCTTGCATTGTACGCAAAATATCAAATTCCAAGTTGGGTACCTTTGCTTTATCTCTCATTGATCCTTTGCCCAGGATAGACATTTTAGCACCTGTTTCTTCCTGTAGCCTCTTCAAGGAGTTTCCTCTTGGTCCAAGCAATTTCCCCACAAAATTGAACTACAAAACAAAATCAATAGAACATCTGTTTTAGGGTAGAGTAAAAGGATGATTTATGCCAAGAATAATTGATGAGCTGTGGAGTTTTCAAACTTTACCTTTGAAGATTTATGCCACTCCCTCTCCCCAACATGAATCCATTTCAGATCTTTAACTAAGACCCATATTAAAAGGTGTATCTGTTCTTAATGGAATGCCAAGATTAGTACTATGTTAGGCATATTATTTACTTAGATAAATAAACAGATCACTTACTATGAAAATAAAATTCTTATGCCTTTTTTCTTCAAGTAGATGATTGAAATAAGTTATTTTAATTTGTCTAGGGACTTCAAAATCACAAAAGTTAATATTTTAAAGTGATTTTAAAAATAAAATGTAATATTCGTGTGTTTTAAATATTGCCTATGTCCATATGATTTTATCACAAATTTCATGATTGGGAATAAAATAACTCAATCATTTACTTGGTTTACATTTTCTGTTAGAGTTGTTCTCAGAATCAGCAAATTAGAGATGTGAACACATAAACGAAAGTTAAAAAAATTAAAGAGGCCAGCTCCATAGCATAGCAGGATAAAATGCCATCTGCAACACTGGCATCCCATATGGGCTCTGGTTCAAGTGTAGGCTGCTCTATTTCCAATCCAACTCCTTGCTAATGCACCTGGGAAAGCAGTGAATTATGGTCCAAGTTCTTGGGCCCCTGCATCCAATACGGAAGACCTGGAAGAAGCTCCTGCCTCCTGCCTTTGCACTGGCCCAGCCCTAGGCATTGAGGCCATCTGGGTAGTGAACCAGCGAATGGAAGACCCCTCTCTCTTTCTCTCTCTCTCTCTCTCTCCTCTCTCTTTGACTCTGCTTTTCTCTCTTTGCCTTTCAAATAAATAAATAAATCTTTAAAAAAGAATGAGATAGCTTTCTTAATTGCCCTCTCAGGAATATCAACACGAGCATATAAAAATGTATAATAACTACAAGTTATTCCTAAACTTAAAATTGCTCCACCTCTTTGTTTTTATCTTTAACATGCATTGCACAAACCTTATTCTTTGAAAAATATGATTATAACAAAGGGCAAAATAAAACAGATATAGAAAGCCACACAAAATGTATAGTTTAATGAATCATTACAGTACAGAAACTCTGCTTTACCACTCAGCTTAAAAAAATAAAACTTTAACACTAATAAGTGTGTATGTGTGTGTGTGCATGCGAAAACTGTGAAATCTTAGTATAGAGTTGGTCTTCTGTGTACAAAGTTAATTGAAAATGAATCTTAATAGAGAATGAGACTAGCAAGGGGAAGAGGAGGAGATAGAAGGGTGGGAGTGTGGGTGGGGGGGCAAATAGCATAGGAAGAATAACTATATTTCTCAAGTTGTACTTATATAAAATTTGCATTACTTAAAAAATAAATTTAAAAAAAATAGAACTTTGGGGCCAGTGCTGTGGCTTAGTGGGTAAAGCAGGCATCCATATGGGCACCAGTTCAAGTCTTAGTCGCTTCACTTCTGATCCAGCTCTCTGCGATGGGTTGGGAAAGCAGTAGAAGATGACACAACTGCTTGGGTCCCTACACCCATGTGGGAGCCCCGGAAGAAGCTCCTGGCTCCTAGTTTCAGATCAACCCAGCTCTGGATTTTGTGACCATTTGGAGAGTAAACCAGCAGATGACAGATCTCTATCTGTCTATGTCTCTCTCTGTCTCTCTATCTGCCTCTGAACCTCTGTAACTCTTCTTGCAAATAAATAAATCTTTTTTTAAAAAAACTTATTACAAACACCCCTTTCTATAAAAATTGATCTAAAATTAATTGTGATGATGAATAAACAACACTGAAAAAACTAATAAACCACTGGACTATATAATTAAAATGGATGTATTATATGATATGTGAATTATATCTCATTAACTGAAAAAATACATAATTAAAATGTTTTTAGAATAGAGTATGCAATATTTAAGTGTAAAATAAAGTCAAAACTGTCATCTCTTACCACATTATTCAATATTATACTGGAGAGTAGATTGTTGTATGTGTAGGTAAATGGATAAATAGAATAATAAAATATCCAAACTACATAGAGATTATCATTTGGCTTTCTGGAAAAGTGCCGATGCAACAAAATTTGAAAAGTAAACTCTTTTGAATAAATACTGTTGAAACAATCTCATACCTATGTGTAGAAAAGTAGGAGAAAATAAAAGCAAACACATACTCATTGACACAACCCAAACAGCAACTTTTCCATGGTGAAGAGGGGATGGCATGCAATGAATAAAGACAAAAACTAGTGATTATGGAATAGCAAGGAGCCAGAGTGATTCTTTCCAAGTTAGGAGAGGAACATCTTTGACTGTCCTGGTGGCTTCTAATCCCTTCAGGTAACATTCATTCTCGCTGTCTCAGTGAGTGCATATTTGCTCACATCAGCACTATTTCCCTTTGTGGAGTTATGCATCAGGCTCGCTCTCACGAGGAAGAGAGGAGCATCTTGTGAGACAAGCAGATCCCAGGCTGTTTGTCTCAGGCTGTATCTCATGAGGAGTAGAGAAACATCTTGTGCAATAAACAGACAGGTGTCTCTTTATCCTGGAACATGCCCAAGGCCTCTGTGGCGAGCCTTCCCATGACCTAAGGAACAAGACGGTTGTTCCCAGCATCCTTAGCCTTCCAAAGAATGCAAGCATAATGTTCTTGTCTCTTTCCTCAAGATATTGCTGAGATGATGCCCTGGTGGTCCCTGGCATACAAAGTTTTCTGTACTACCTCACACTGAGGGAAACCTTAATTTGAGATTACTTATGGATATATGTATAAAAGATAAGATTATAAAGATTCTAGAAGGAAAGCATTTAAAAACTTTATGAAATTGGGGTAGGAAAACATTACTTATTAGGAAGAAAGATAACTTACACAGCCCTCAAAAACTCTGATGCAAAACCCTATCAAAAATTAAATAGACAAGCCATGGACTGCAAGAAAACACTCCTCTTACATTCATCTGAAAAATGAATACTATTTAGAATCTATAAAGAATTCCATTAAATCAATACTAAAATGCACACACCCACAGTGGATGGCTAAATCAGAGTGACAACAATGTCAATAGAATGTGAAATCGCTTGTAGTAAACATTGTCAGCAATTTTATTATTTTAATATTTTTTAAGTTTTATATTATTTAGATTAAAGGCAGAGTTCCAGAGAGTAGGAGAGTGTGACAGAGACAGAAAGCGAAAGAGGTCATTCATCCGCAGGTTTACTCTCAAATAATTGTAAAGGCCAGGGCTGGGTCAGGGGGAAGTTGGGAGCCTGGACTCACTCTGGTTCTCCCACATGGGTAGCAGGGGCTGAAGCACTCAAGTCACCACTGTCCCAGGAACACTGGAAGGAGGCTGGATCAGAAACAGAGCAGCTGGGACTCTAACCTGCACTCCAGTATGGGAAGCCAGTGCAGCTTAACACTTTGTGCCACGTTAGTCTCTGGATGGTTTTAAATGACAAAGCTACACCTGCCAGAAGACTGATATTTATTTATTAAGTTAAACATACAGCTCCACTATGATCTCAAATTTTTATCCAAGAGAAATAAAAATGTACTTTCACAACTTATGCAATAAAGCTCATGACATTTTGTTTATAGTCATCGTTATCCTATTACATCCTAACATCCTATATTTAAGACACCCATAAAAACTTAAATTGAGTAGTAAGTATACTACTTACAGTAATTTTGAAATGTATATATCTTTGAAATATTTTCACAATAGAAAACTTGAGTCTTAATTGGTGAAACAAGAAATAAACCAACGCCCATTCTTGTAGAGTGGACAGAAGTTGATACATATAAGAACATGAATTAGTTATTGATTGACACATTGACATGGCTGTATTTTTTGAACATTTTGGTGAAAGAAGCCATAAATAAAAGAATACATCATGTTAGATTCCACTCTCACAACATTTGAATTATAAAACTAATATTCAAAAGAGTGGCTGTATGTTGAACAGAGAAGGCTGGATTGGCTGGAAGGTATCATAAGGATAACATTTGAGTTCATGGAATTGTTCTATAGTTTGCTTTCAAAATTCATCAAGCTATCCACTAAAGATCAGTGAATTTCATTACATATAGAATTTCAGCCAAAATAGAGGAAAAGGAAAATACTGGTCTAAAAAGTCATATAGATATTTTTAAAATTATATCAATTTGAAACATATTATAAAGCGATTGTACAGAGTCTTATTAGATTTTTAGGAAATGTGTCACTACAATTTATGCAGACTATTTCAAAGAAATAAATGGAAAAATATATCCCTCAACCACTCTATCAAACAAGCGTAAATTTGATGCCAAAATAAATAGAAATATGAAATTTATAGACTGAGTCCGCTGGGTGTGGGAACAAAAAACCAACTGAACAACGTAATAACATAATGTTATATATATACAAAATAGTCATCATGATAGAGTTGTGTTTAGACTAAATAGTTTATTGTTTATAACTATTAATTGTAATTTATAAACTAATGTAGAAATAGGCCAATATTTTATTTGAATAAAATGATTTGGTAAAATTCAAATTTATTCATTATAAAAACACTTACCTGAAAAATAAAGAGAACATTCTCAATCAATAGAAGGTTTAAACTTAAAATGAGTAAGAATAGTATATAGTATATAGATATAATAGCAAAACAATATTAGACACAAGGTATAAATTCACATTCTTGATATTCTGCTCAGCACCAAATATTAAAGCCATTGAATAAGATAAATTAAATGTTATAAATATCAGAAAGTAAGAAAAATTTTCCACCTACATAATTACATATATGTGTATATATATACATCAAGCTTGAAGTGTTTGCAGGAAAATTACTATAATTAGTACAAGAGCTTAGCAAAGTGCTTTATTAAAAAGTCAATATAAAATCAATCATATGTTTGCAAGCTGGAAACACATCATTAGAAAATACTTTTTTAAAAAAG